TTTTTTTTTTTGTTAGTTATTGTCTATGTAGTTTTTTATTATTAAGTTTTAGTTTATTTAGTTTTACTAATTTTAGTACTTCAACTTTAAACAAAAATGAAAAATGTTGTTTTGGCAACTAGCTGAAACAAAGTTGTTTTATTATTATTGAGATACTATTATAGATGTTTTTAAAATGTTATGTTTTTAAAAAAGTTTTTATTTTTATACTTTTTGTTTTCATTTTAAATTTGAAGTTCTTATAATTTTGTGTTTTTGTCATTTTTATTATTAAAATATGTCTATAGTTTTAATTATTTGTTACTTCAGTTTTAGTTTGTTATTTTAGTAAATCAAGTTTAAATAAATGAAAATGGAAATGTGGCTTTGGCAGCTAGCTAAAAAAAAAAGTTTGTTTTTGTTTTGATTTTATTTCAGTTAAAATGTATTTTAATTCAAGTAACGAAAATAATTATGGTTTTAGTCAACTACAATAACCCTGAGCTCAAATATTTTTTCAATGATTATTTAATTGTGTTTCATTAAGTTTTATTTTTATTTAAAGATAATAATCTTGGTTTGTAGGTGAGTGTTGTGATTATTGACAAAATTAGTGTTTTTTTTTTTATTGCGTGGGAAATTATAAAAAAAAAAATCCTTATCTAGCAGTCATGAATGACTTGAAAGCTCATGAAAATTAACAGGTTGTCAGGTTTAGGAACCCAGGAAATAGCATTCTGGCCTCTAGCAAGCAAAGTAAACAAGACAGTTAAATTGTGCAAGAGTGAGTTGCAGAAGAAAGCAGTTTTTGTTTCATGGAGATATACTCTTTCATCCTATCTGCTGCTCTCTGTGTCTTTCCCCAAGTGAAAATCCAGCTCAGGCAACAATGTAGAAAATCCCACTCCTCTGATTAGCACTGAAGCTCTTGGCTAAACTTTTCCAGTTGGCTTGTTTAAGACGGCTCACAGATTACCAAAGCCTTACCCTAAAGCTCGCCAAAGTATAGTGCTGATTCCAAGTGGAAATTGATTTAGAAGTTCACTCTAAACCTCTGTTCTGTATGTCACATGAAAATTGAGGATTTTGAAGACTTTTAATGTTTAGGTTAATGTTTGCTTTGATTACTTTTCTGGATTCCAACTGTGAAGAGACGATTAGTGCTTGAAGTATTTCTGCAACTTTGTAGCTTTTGTGTTTTGAGATTTGAGACATTCCTATTCAGACGCTCACAAGCTTTGAAGGTTCATGCATAATTCAGAACTTGGACGCAGTCAGGCAGTGCATTTCTTTGACATTAGTTAGTCCAAATTCATGCTACAAATGACATTGTCCACACCTCTCATACATGATTTCTTGTTTGATAACCAAGTCAGAACATTTGCTCTTAAATCCCTTTTTATTTTCCCATTGGTGTGCCTGAAAAGACTTGATTTGCTCTTCATAATGGTCTTGTTGCATCTTTCGCTCACCGGTCTTGGCTAACTGCACGCTTTTTTGTTTCTTCTGCATCACGACGGCTCCTTTTTCCTCCTTAAATGGTTCCTTGCCTTTTTGTGTGTTTTACCCACAATGCTTGTGACCCGTGCCTGTACATCTCGATGTGTTCTGCTCTGGTTCTCACCTTCCCCTAAAGCCCATCCGGAAGTTCTGTGTCCCACCACAGTCCACTGAGCTGCTCTTGTCCCCCAGCTCTAGTATCACCGACTCCCTAAAACCAAACTCAGATCAAAACGAGTTAAAAACCCCAACTTCTAACTCCCTAACACCAAACTCTATATCTGAGTATCTCTTGCCCTGCCCAAAGACCCAGACTCTTCCAGCCAAACCCAAAGACAAACCCTTACAATCCGCCCGATCAAACCCCCTACCCGAATCTGGGCCCGAACACATTTTGACAGCCAAGTCAGAACCTTCAACTCCATGTCAACCACAAGTTCCCTGTATACCGGGCAGCCCACTGGTGCGGCGGGCAACCCCAGCCTCCATCATACCCCCTCAACTCTCGGTCCCCTTTAGGCCTGTTGTCCCTCTTTCCCCTATCCGACTACACCACTTCCACCCTGTTCCTGGCTCTGACCACACCACCAAATCTATCCCCACCATACAGGTGACCCCCCACCCCTCTCCAAGGGGCAGCCCTATCCCCACCCCCAAAGGAACGCCCGTGCACACGCCTAAGGACAGCCCCACGGGGACGCCGACCCCTACGCCACCCCCCAGCCCCTCCATCGGGGGAATGCCCTGGAAGACGCGCCTCAACTCCATCAAGAACAGCTTCCTGGGCTCACCGCGCTTTCACCGCAGGAAACTGCAAGGTATTGGTGAATAGAGTAAACAAGCTACAATTCATCTATCCATGCATTCTCCAAACCACTTGTCCTAAGTGGGGTCGCGGAGATGTTGGAGCCCATCCCAGCATCTCGGGCCGAAGAAAGGTAAAACTCTGGATGGATGTCCAGGCTACAATTCCCGACACCATGAAATCTAAATTATAGTTATGTGGTGTTTAATCCATTTCTGTTAGCTTTGAGGCAAATCTAGATATTATTGTACTCATAAAAGTTGACAAGAATAATACATTCTCTTTTGAGATAACCAACGATGAGCCAACAATGTTGATGATGGCATCTTGTCTTATAGCAGGGGTTTCTCAACTCTTGCCCTTGAGGTCCAATTTAATGCAGAGTTTAGCTCCAACCCTAATCAAACTCACCTGAACAAACTCATCAAGGTCTTCAGAATCACTAGAAAGCTACAGGCAGTTGTGTTTGATTAGGGATGGAGCTAAACTCTACAGTGGACCTCAAGGGCCAGAGTTCAGAACCCCTGTCTTATAGAATCTTGTCCAATAAAAGGCTCTATACCAGGGGCGTCCAAACCTGTTCCTGGAGGGCCAACGTCCTGCAGAGTTTAGTTCCAACCAGCTCCAACACACTTGGCTGGAAGTTTCTAGTGAGTCTGAAGATCTTGATTTGCTTGTCCAGGTGTGGTTAATTAGTGTTGGAGCTACACTCTGCAGGACAATGGCCCTCCAGGAACAGGTCTGGACGCCCCTGGTCTAGAATGAGAATGCCCTGTCCCCTTAAAGCCCATGATACACTCACGGTAAATTTCTTATTCGTTCTTTGCTTAGGGGTAAAAAGAAGTGGCTGTGAGCGGGTTTAGATGAGTATGTAAGAGCACACCTACCTATTTTGTAATTGCCAGTGACCAATGGTAGCTCGGAAGTGTTTACTAGCCAAAGTAAACACACCAGTGCATTCTTCGATTTCACTTGAAGTATATTGTAGTCTTAAAGGGTTAGTTCACCCAAAAATGAAAATTCTGTAATTAATTACTCACCCTCATGTCGTTCCAAGCCCATAAGACCTTTTTTCATCTTCAGAACACAAATTAAGATATTTTTGATGAAATCCGAGAGTTTTCTGACTCTCCATAGACAGTATCGGAACTACCACGTTCAAGGCCCAGAAAGGTAGTAAGGACATCTTTAAAATAGTCTGTGACAGTGGTTCAACTGTAATTTTATGAAGCTACGAGAATACTATATGCGCAAAGAACGCAAAAATAACAACTTTATTCAACAATTTCTTCTTTTTTGGGTCAGTCTCTGCTGCCATTCACAAGAGTACCACGACGCATGCGTATGCATTCCTCTGCTTGTAAACAAGCCACAGCGAATCCGGGTTCAACATCAGAATGCCAGCTGCTGCGTCAGTGGCACCATACACATGCGTCGTGATACTCTTGTGAACGCACATTGAAGACTGACACGGAAGAGATTAAATTGTTGAATAAATTAGTTATTTTTGTTTTCTTTGTGCACAAAAGTATTGTCGTAGCTTCGTAAAATTACAGTTGAACCCCTGATGTCGCATGGACTATTTTATCGATGTCCTTACTACCTTTTTGGGCCTTGAATGTGGTAGTTATGATACTTTCTATGGAGAGTCAGAAAACTCTTGGATTTCATCAAAAACTTTTTTTCCCCTTAAAATGTTTCATGGGGTGTTTAAATAAACTTGGTTTGCTATTGGCAACTCTACATTGAGTCATTATAGGCCTGAAATAAAGCTCTTACCTCCTCCAGTTTGACTGGATCTGTTTCATGGCTTGTTGTGGCTAAATGCTCTGATTTACATACTGACTGTAAACTAATATTAAGCCTGCTACCATGGTTACCACTTCACATTGTTTCAGTAGCATCAGTTTCCATTTCTAAATAACTTCTCCTGCATGCGACCCCTTAATGATCCAGTTTTATTGTTGGCATAACCTTTAATCCCAAGCTAAACGGGCAACACGAGACAAATACTCACAAACGATGCACATTTGCATGCAACTATAGGCTCTAATTATATCTGTCCTACATACTGAGATGTTGAATTAGTTAGAAAACTATTTTAAAATGATACACAATTTTGATTACTGACAAAAATGGAACATGCTAACATCTTTGTTTTTGTTTTGATTTTATTTCAGTTAAAATGTATTTTAATTCAAGTAACGAAAATAATTATGGTTTTAGTCAACTACAATAACCCTGAGCTCAAATATTTTTTCAATGATTATTTAATTGTGTTTCATTAAGTTTTATTTTTATTTAAAGATAATAATCTTGGTTTGTAGGTGAGTGTTGTGATTATTGACAAATGGTGCGGCGGGCAACCCCAGCCTCCATCATACCCCCTCAACTCTCGGTCCCCTTTAGGCCTGTTGTCCCTCTTTCCCCTATCCGACTACACCACTTCCACCCTGTTCCTGGCTCTGACCACACCACCAAATCTATCCCCACCATACAGGTGACCCCCCACCCCTCTCCAAGGGGCAGCCCTATCCCCACCCCCAAAGGAACGCCCGTGCACACGCCTAAGGACAGCCCCACGGGGACGCCGACCCCTACGCCACCCCCCAGCCCCTCCATCGGGGGAATGCCCTGGAAGACGCGCCTCAACTCCATCAGGAACAGCTTCCTGGGCTCACCGCGCTTTCACCGCAGGAAACTACAAGGTATCGTGTCAAATTGGTGGATACAGTAAACAAGCTACAATTCATCCATCCATGCATTCTCCAAACCACTTGTCCTAAGTAGGGTCGCGGAGATGTTGGAGCCTATCCCAGCATCTCGGGCCGAAACTCTGGATTGCCAGGCTACAATTCATGACTCCATGAAATCAAAATTACTGTTGTGTGGCGTATAATTCGTGTATTTTCCATCCATGTTCAAACCTCCGCAATGAACACCAAACGAAATTCGTTTTGGCCTTTTTTGTTTCACCAGTTCATTATTCAATTTTACTTGAAGTATGTTGGAGGCTTAATTCTAATTACAACATGTCCCAAGCTAGAAATAGAAAACTGTCACGTAGAAATTTAAAAACAGTCCTGCCCCAAATTCCTGTTGGACTTTTCCAATGCCTCAACTTTGTTGGCAAAGAAAAGATAAAAAAATTTTTCCACCCTTAAGCTGTTTCATGGGGTGTTTAAATAAACTTGGTTTACTCTTAGCTCAGTAATAAGTCACAAACACCTGGAAATGTTTGGGTGGCCAACAAAGAGATGATTTTGACTAGATCTTCTAAATCCCTCTTAACGTAGTCACTCTACATTGAGTAGTCACGTAGTCACTCTTACCTCCTCCAGTTTGACTGGATCTGTTTCATGGCTTGTTGTGGCTAAATGCTCTCATTTACATACTGACTGTAAACTAATTTTAAGCCTGCTATCATGGTTACCACCTGACGTTGTTTTAGTAGCATCAGTTTGCATTTCGTAATACCTTCTCCAGCATGTGACCCCTTAATGATCCAGTTTTATTGTTGGCATAACCTTTAATCCCAAGCCAAATGGGCAACCTGTGACAAATACTCACAAATGATGCACATTTGCATGCGACTATAGGCAGTAATTATTTCTGTCCTACATACTGAGATGTTGAATTAGATAAATCATTTGAAAGTGATACACAACTTTGATGAATGACAAAAATGGAACCTGCTAACATCCTTGCTTTATTCTGAACAGTTCCCACTCAAGAGGAAATGTCCAGCCTCACGCCAGAGTCTTCCCCAGAGTGAGTACACAGCTGTTACGGATTTCCCATATATTATACTTATTTTCAGTAGCTTTGTGAACCTTTTTCATGAGAGAGAGAGGACTGTTATGTTTGGTTTTTTTTCCTATGCAAGATGTCTTGGTCTGCTATACTTTTAACTGAATTATTGAATTGTTTTTATTTATATATTTATTCATTTTTATTTAGAGAGCATTATAGGGATACCTGGATCACTTACTACTGGAATTTTACTTATTTATTTATTTTGCTACGCATGATAAGACTCGGTCTAGTGTACTTTTACATAAAATTCTCATATAAATTATTAGTAAATTTTATTTACTCCCTTTATTTATCTGGGAGGTCCCAACAGTATAGGTGATTTCAGGTTTTATTATCATTATCGGGACATTTGGCTTACATAATGCCATAATGCATTTCCAGCTTACCATTAAATCAGTTTTGTGCTGGAAACACCGCAACATTGCAGCCGCCAAAAAACATCGACAAATAGCAGACCTTGAACAATACTTACCCAACAACAGTGTTGATGTAAACCCCCTCAGCACTTCAGAAATCATTGTGAGTTATGTTTGCCTCTGTTAAACCATTTAGTCTTTTTTTTCCCAGTCTAATGGAAGCTCAGTCATATCTTTCTCCCACTGAGACGGGTTTCAGCACACAGCAGACAGCAGTCACAAACTCTCTCCCCCACACGGAGTGATGCCTCATCCTCTTTTGTTTTCTATTTTGTCTTCCATAACTTATCCGCCTCTCTCTCGCTTTCCGCGCCAGCTGGATAAGCCGTGGCGCTCTCTGCTTTCTTTTGTCATCCTCTGCCATAAATCAGTTTCTGGAAGTTGCGAGCAACTGTGCTTTGTTGATACACAACAGCGGCGGACTGAAGCTTTTTAGAGCTAGAACGAGGTTTAGACAGACAGTTATTCCTTTGTATGTTAAAATGAGACCAAATTACATCTGCTAGTTTAAACACCAGGGGTTTTGCTAGATTTTTCCATCAGCAGAGATGCTTTAATTTTCAGAGACCTACTGCAGCAAAAATGCAACAGTTGTTTAACAATATCATTCACTTAAACCATTTAGTCTTTTTTTTCCCAGTCTAATGGAAGCTCAGTCATATCTTTCTCCCACTGAGACGGGTTTCAGCACACAGCAGACAGCAGTCACAAACTCTCTCCCCCACACGGAGTGATGCCTCATCCTCTTTTGTTTTCTATTTTGTCTTCCATAACTTATCCGCCTCTCTCTCGCTTTCCGCGCCAGCTGGATAAGCCGTGGCGCTCTCTGCTTTCTTTTGTCATCCTCTGCCATAAATCAGTTTCTGGAAGTTGCGAGCGACTGTGCTTTGTTGATACACAACAGCGGCGGACTGAAGATTTTTAGAGCTAGAACGAGGTTTAGACAGACGGTTATTCCTTTGTATGTTAAAATGAGACCAAATTACATCTGCTAGTTTAAACACCAGGGGTTTTGCTTGATTTTTCCATCAACAGAGATGCTTTAATTTTCAGAGACCTACTGCAGCAAAAATGCAACAGTTGTTTAACAATACCCATCATTCACTAATTATGACTGCAACTTCTGAACTTTTTCATAGCAACATGCAGAAATATATTTACAATTTACAATGCAAAGTCAACATGTTCACTGATATATATTACATTGTAAATAGTATTACACTTTAAAATAGCTAAACATTTATTATTTTCATTAATGTTCAAAACAATGAAATAAACTGATATCATTAAAAAAGAATAAATATAGCTGTGAGACAAGAGCGCCTTATGGATTTTTATATGACTTAATTAGATTTTTGCCGCAGCCATCAATATGACCTCATGCAAAGTTCATGTTAATTTGTAGACCCTCTGCTGTGCCGTTCTTTCACATAGTCCCTTTTATGAATTATTCAGTATCGATTTATTTTGCATAAGCGCCATAGGATCTATCTTGTTCTGAGCTCTGATAAGGAGTGATCTTTTATCCCCTGAAGACTTCATAAAAAGTTAATGTTTCATATTTCTCTCGCTCTGCAGACTTGCCAAAAAATCTTGGTTTGGTAACTTCATCAACCTAGAGAAAGAGGAGCAGATCTTCGTGGTTATTAAGGACAAGCCTCTGAGCTCTATAAAAGCCGACATCGTACACGCCTTTCTCTCGGTAAGCAATCTCTTTTGCATGCCTCCAATCCCGTTTCATTCCTCCGTTGTAAACGACAGCTATGAATATTTGAATATATGCTTCTGCATTCTCTCTATCAGATTGAAAGACTTTGCCCGTCGCACCGGTTTTGATAGGCTTGGCCGGAAGCCTGTGTTTTTACATTTGCAAATACCTTTCTGATTTGTGTTTCAATTCTGTAAAATGCTAGTCTGTGATGTTTCCATCCTCCCCGTGGCTGCCTCTTTCATTAGAGGTCAATGGAAAAGCATGAATCATTAGCATTTAGATGTTGTGCCTCGAGAGGTTTGTGCAGAAGGGAAGGGAGTTTAGTCTGCCGTTTAGACCTGCAAGGGGTTTAAATATGCACTTAAAAAGTTGCTTGTCACGGTTAGCGACGTTTTCCTCACCTTCAGCTACGGAAAAGTTCATTTCTGCACAATTTTGCGGGGAAAAAGTCCATTGTCAATAGTGTAGCAGTGCTGGGTAGATTACTTAGAAATGGTGGTCTGTTACTGATTCCAAATTAAATGACAAAAAATTGTAGTTAGGAACGTAATCAATTACATTACTTTTAGATTACTTTTGAGCTAACTTGTTTATCGCATTGATTTAAATAGCATAATGTTGTACAATATTGATATAAAAATACAAAGAGAAAGAAAATATATAATATATAAAATATTTAATTTGTTTGCATGCATGTCATGTGACCATTAACCTGCATCAGAGGATCGTGAACATGCAAATGTGCTACTTAATTATTGTTACCTTGTTACCTTAAAATCTTAGGGGGTACTTCAAGTAAATATATTAGGTGAATTATGAATAATGTATTGCTATTTTGTGAATAATATGTAATCAAAAAAACAAAAAAAACTGTAGTCCGATAACAAGTATTTTCAAATGTAATTTAATTACAAGTACTTAATTTTTGGAATCTGATTACATAATCCAGATTACATGTAATCAGTTACTAGCCAGCACTGGTAGCGATGTGTGTAGCACAACTCAAACAGCTTTCTTTGGGTCAACGCAGCGAATTCTCGTGACCAACTGGAACTCTGTGAAATATGCAAGTGGAAATCTTTCACCCTTACACATAGGCGGAGGGTGAACCAACTCCAGGGTAAGGCTAAATGCAGCCAAATGTATTAAACATCATAAACCCGTCTTTTTAGGCATGAACCAGGCATGGGTGTCATGTAGGCTAAAAAAAATGTTTAATGGGACTGAATTTGTGTTTAACATGATTACAATTTAATACAAATGTTAGAAATGGATAATTATATAACATTTCCTTTCCACGGTTTTAAAACGGCAAATAAATTATATATAGACAGTGGCATTATCACTAACATTGATCTATCGCGAGTTTAAGCACTCTCAAAAAACAAAAAAAAACTATCGTTATAATCACTGAAGCTGTATACATTGTTAAATGAATCTTTTACTTACATTGCATGTACATCTGCGCTTTGTTGTTTATGATATTTGTTTGTGCAGGGGCATTTTTGTCCAATTTAGTGGCATTTTTGCCCCAAGTCCCCTTACACACGCTCCGCCTATACCCTTACACGAAATTCCCAAACTTTCCTATTGAAATGACTGGATTTTGCTCATAAAATTTATCCAAACAATGAAATTTATGTGAATTTTGCTAGCAAAAAAACCTCAGAAATCATCAATTCATGGCAAATTCCCATGGTGACTTGAATCTGATGTGAAGTCTGCGAAATCTGAAATTACCGAAGACCTAGATTCCTATTAAAATGACTGGATTTCGCCTGCAAAAATTCACCAAATAACCATATATGTAACCGCACCTTAATAAACAGCCACGCTTTTCCAAGTCTCTATTTATGTTCTTCATAGATGCTTCCAAATATGTAACTGATCCTTGCCTTCCTCAGATACCCAGCCTCAGTCACAGCGTCGTCTCGCAGACAAGTTTTCGGGCTGAGTATAAATCCACCGCTGGCCCCACCGTCTTCCAGAAGCCTGTTAATGGGTTTGTCCCTATTTTACCCAGCGCTGGGTTGTATTTAAACCAGCATTTTTTAGTGTATATATATATATTATTTTTTTATTTTTTTTAACAAAAATGCTTTGTCACCAAATAATTCAAAATGATTAATGTAAAACAAATAATAAATATAATCTTAAAATCATTTTCATTTATATTCACCAATGCAACTATATATAGTTGATATACAAGGTTAAAATTCTCTGTTTATTACTCATTTTAATACTTGAAAAAATATTTTTGAGTGATGACCGCTGTCAGGTTGGATTGCGACTTCTAATGATATTGGGTCTCATTCACTAATAATTGTGCAGATTATTTGTTTTTATACACACAAGAGAACTTCTTATCTGCCTAATTTGTAACACTGTGCGTAAATGAATTCATTATGAAACTTGTTCTATTGTTAATGTACTTGGAGTGTAATGAATGAGCGACCATGTGTTAATCATTTGTATAATATAAGGACTTTCCGAACAATCTTTTCTTCGTAGCTTTTTGTCACTCTCAGGCTCAGCAATCATAAGACACATGTATATGTTGAAATATAATTAGGATTAAAACATTTATGTGGTTTCAGTTGTTCCTACATTTGTAGTCAAATGTATTATAAATTTATGAAAAATGTAACAGATGAGTCATGATTTGTTTGTGAAAACGTTTGTATGACTTCACGCACAAATTGGTGCATACGCATGGTCAGTGAATGAGACCCATTGCCTTGAGGAAGCTTAATGGGCAAATTAATTTTTGGAGATATGTGATTATGAATATATATTACATAGCCCATTTCTGACAGTCTTACTCTTAGTCTTGGCAGGAATTTTATTTGTGTCCTCTAAGGAACAATACTTACAAATATTTCCATTTAATTCTCAGATTGAGCCAAATAGCCTCTTACACACTAATTATCCCATCAGTATATTATAGATCACAATAACAACATAAGATAAATAGAACACCTAAAAATGCATTATTATTTCGGCTAATGCATCATTCTCCCTTATTTTCTGCCATTAATATCCATTACGTCTCCTCATGATAGTGCCAGCAGCAGCTCTTATCCACTACAGCGTGCAGGATGTTAAATAATATCATTGTCCACCTAGTAGAGATAAGAAAGACTGCAAGTTACAAGTAGTTTTATAATAAATTCCTGTCATATTCCTAAAAGGCTCCAATTTTTCTGTCTGTGGAGCTTTTCTCACTAGAATGCAAGCCAAGTGAATGAGTAGTCGATTCTTCAGTCTTAAGGAAGCTACGCTCCGACTTTCTGTTTCAAAATGTCAACAGGATTTAGTCTTTTTACATGTGTGACCTGTTACACTTTATTGCAGGTCCAAGCCGGCGTTTCAAGCGGGTGGTAGAAATGATTCAGGCGCAGTTGTTAAGCACACACGACCAGCCGGGAGTCCAGCAGCTGTCTGGTGAGTATAAATCCCCCGTCCCTTCCCCCACTCCGTCCCAAACCCCATGATCCCGCTCATGCCTGTTTATACCCCTCCTCCATCATGCATGTTCCTCGTCCACAGCACACCACAACACAGCATCACAGTAGTCTCCACATGATCCCACCCTAAAGCAATCCCCATTCAGATGCTAGAAGAGATGGGGAGTTTTCCAATTCGTGGTGATTCCCTTCGGCCACACCGCTGCTCCCATTTCTCAGACGGCATTAACGGTAGATTTCCCCGCCAGTTCTCTAAATGTGGGCACCTCAGCTTCATGATTTCTAGTTTTGGGAGACAGTGTCCTTGTTGGATGACGGATCTGGACTGGTTATGTAAAGGTTCCTGCTACCGTTTTAGGTCGGGATAACCCTAAAACTGAAATCCTGCTCTCTCACCATCAATTATTGTGCTAAACGAACCAGAACACAGAAGACACAAATCAGGGACATTACCATAAAATACCAAGTTTTTGGAAAGTTTTTCTTCAGTATATATCTTCTATTACCGTGAACTATCCAGAGCTTCAAAGATGAATGGCTGATAATGTGTTTTTTTTTTTTTTTTTTAGAGGAGAAACGTAAAGAAAAGGCACTTTTCCATCCTATTCTCCATCCACCCCGTGCACATCCTCTCTTCATGACACATGATAACAGCTCCACATAGTGGTCTGTTAGATAAACAACAGCATTTAATAGACAACACCAATGCATATAACCCAACCTTTGAGTTTTTCAAATGCACACCAATGCAGATCGTTTCAGTAACTACTGGTAATGGATCTCCACGGACAGTATTTGAGGCAAAAAATTCAAGAAAAAGTTTTCATTCAATGTGAGGAAGAAATTAGTGTCCGCTACTTTTCTACTGGTTCTTGATTATGGGGACGTAGTGTATCAGCATGCTCCCTCTTATCTTCTTGCCTTCTTGGATGCTTTGTACCATGGTGCTCTGAGATTTATAACTGATTGTAAATGTTCAACACATCATTGTGAACTATACAAAAGAGTTGCATGGCCTTCTTTGAGCATTCAGAGAAAAATGCATTGGTATCTATTGATATATAAAGCCATATTGGGTTATTTGCCATTTTATCTTTGTTGTTTTATTCAAATGACGTTGTCTGGCAATTACTGATGTTCTCAATCAAATTATAATCTTTGTGTGCTCTTTGTCAGAACTGAGCTTGGTAAAACTTCCTTAATATGCCGCCACTTCAGATTGGAATCTTCTCTAAAAGCAGATGAAGTTACACAACTTGGTGCCTTACATTTATTTTAAATATTACTGCATAATCTAGAGAGTGAATTAATGGCGTGTAATTGTTTTTAATTGGTTATATGTTTGTATGTCCGTTTTAGTATTTTACTTTGTAACTTTGTTGTTTATTTGTATACGCGAACTTGGCTGCCTATCTTGGCCAGGACACTCATGTAAAAGAGACTTTTTCCTGGTTAAATAAAGGTAATAAATAAAATATACAAAGGTGCTGTACGTGGCTGAAAAAAAAGTATTGGAGGTTTCAGGGACTGTTGGGTAGCAGAAATAAATCCCAGACCATCTCAAGAAAGTAGATTGTTGCTTTTGCTCCTCCTGTCGTCCTTCTCTGTTCCCACCCCATTGTCTTTCACTGTCTTTCCTTCTTTCACCTTTGCTTTCACTCAAACACGTCACATTCATTGGCTCTGTCTCATTCAGCGCTGTATGACTCACTGTGGTTTGAACGCACTACTGCACTGCAGATGAATGGCACATACACACTGCAGTCAGATTACACTCACCGCTCCAGAAATAAACACTTAAATTATGCATTTAATTATGTTATTTTGTGTAGGTGGTTGTGGTTTTCTGTGTGTATGCAAATACCTAGCCTCCTAATGTTCTTTAGTTTCATAAAAACTATTTTTATTCCAAACAAGTATAATTTTCTACATAAACTTGTCTAATAACCACCCAACCGAAGTCTTCTTGCCCCTAATGTAGTCTACATGAAGACATCTGGCCCCATGCTTGTTAATTGGAAATTGCTCATTTGCTTCACATAAGCATGATGAAGAGCGTACACAGCGAATCTAATGAGCTAATGCGCTGATCCAATTTATAAACCGAAAAACGGTGCGCTATTTGTGATAGTTTTGTCTGGTGTCAACACGCATGTTTCTCTCTCACAGAGAACTCTCAGTGTGCTGCAAAAACCGCCAAAGTCTCAAAGTCAAAGTGTGGTAAGAATTTTACGGCTTCTGTGTTAAATACACCAGTCTTGCAGCACAATTACAGTGGCCCAGAGAGTATTTAGACACTCGAGTCACACTTAAAGATGTCTGAACGTCATTGCTTTAGATACCTAAATGAGAATTTGCTGAAAACTTGCCCACCCTCAGGCCATCCGAGATGTAGATGAGTTTGTTTCTTCATCAGAACAGATTTGGAGGAATTTATAATTGCATCACTTGCTCACAGATGGATCCTCTGCAGTGAATGGGTGCCGTCAGAATGAGAGTCCAAACAGCTGATAAAAACATCACAATAATCCACAAGTAATCCACAACACTCCAGTCCATCAGTTAACGTCTTGTGAAGTGAAAACCTGCACGTTTGTAAGAAACGAATCCACAATTAAGTCATTTTTAACTTCAAGCTGTTGTTTCCGGCTAAAATACGAGTTCATAATCCATAATAATGTTTTCTCCAGTGAAAAAGTCATCTCGTCAGAATCAGGAGAGAAATATGCACAGATCAATCATTTACAAGCAAAAACAGTCCAAAACAGTTCTAAACAAATATATGAGTGGATTTTGATGTGCAGAGAGACATTAGGAGATGGACTTTTTCACTGGAGGAAGCGTTATTATAGACTATGGACTCATATTTTAATGATGTATTTGTTTCTTACAAACACACAGCTTTTCACTTCACAAGACATTAACTGATGGTCTGGAGTGGTGTGGATTACTTGTGGATTATTGTGATGTTTTTATCAGCTGTTTGGACTCTCATTCTGACGGCAACCATTTACTGCAGAGGATCCACTGGTGAGCAAGTGATGTAGTGCTACATTTCTACAAATCTGATTCAATTAAGAAACAAAGAAAATAGAAACTGAGAGAATTGATATAATTAACCATGATTAATTTTGGGATTCATTTGATTATTTAAACACATTTATACTAATTTATTAATATTTATTCATTTAAGTACTTTTAAGTCATCCTATGGCCCGCTTGGACATTTACTGAGGCCCCTTGTCAAAGAACCACTGGTCTAATACAATTATGTTCATTTTAGGGATAGTTCACACAAAAATAAAGATTCTATCATCATACACTCATGTTTTTCCGAACCTGTATGGCTTTGTTCTGCAGACATGAGGGTGAATAAATAAGGTCATGTTTGGGTGAACTATCTCTTTAAGTGTGCAAAAACTTTTTGGGGTCACTAAACTACTTTGTCACACACACTGCCTTTTATCTTATATAAGCCTGTGATAATCACAGCACATGTAATGATGCATGCCCTGTAGATTACATCCCACTTTAAGTGCACCCAACCACATCAATACCCTTTCACGTGTAATGTAATTAAGTGCAGCACAATTCTTTTCTGTTTAAGTTTTGTGTACACTTGCAAGACAAGCTGTTAAGATGAGCGCAACATAAACTGGCTATTTAGTGCGTACATGGCTTATGAATCTGGTCTTAGTTTCTTAGTTATGTGAGACAAACAGACGAGGCTGTGCATATGTACACCAGAGGCTCTTATGTGCCCCCAAGTGTTCAAATGAACCCCACACCACTGACTGAGTGCCAGTTATTGTGCAGGTTTGCATGTGTATTCATGCGTTTGGAAGTATACTAAACCAAGTACACTAAAGGGGGGTTTCTCATGCAGTCAGAGTTAGCTCAAGGCTAGTCTGAGCCTCAGATGGACTATTCACAGACCGTCTGCTGCATATTACACACAAATGCCAAGAACTTTTGAAAATCGCCAGTTCCAGGAATCAGGATGCACAGGTTTTTAATTAGCCTGTCGAAAAACAAAAAGTTTACAGAAGTCTGCTAGAATGAGTGAAGGAACTAGTTTTTCAGTTCTTGAACTAGAACTGCATTTGTGAAGTTTGTGAGGTTTGTGCCATTCATTCTTTGAAAGTTATTCAAGAGTTTGAAGCTGTTTAAATTATTTAATTAAATGTTTACAATATAATTGTGTGAAGGATAATGTGTAAATGCAAATCCTGATATATTATGTAAGCTTGTTTTCACAACAGGATAAAAAATTTTTTTAAAAAGGTAATTGCGACTTTTATCTCACAGTTCAAACTTTTTTTTTTATATGTGAGTTTATATCTCACAATTCTGAGGAAGTCCTGATGTAGTTTAGATGAAGAAAGTTTCCAAAAAAAATAAATAAAATATTTGAGCAGTGGTCGCTGTGTATAGACTTTGGCGAAGAAAATGTTTGTAGACATTGTAGTTTTTCATCCCAAAAATTTTCATGAACATAATCACAAAAACAAGGCCGAATATAGAGTGCTTGATGATATCTTGTTGATGTATATTCCGCCTGTGGAATATGGTGTATAATTGAACCAGACAGATGACACTTCATTGGCTTATGTGACTTTGAGGAGTGAGCAGAATGAAGATTAAAGGGTACATTGTACCCATGTGTGGGTTTCCTGACTGATCTGCGTGTCATTCTCTCTGCAGTGACAGATGTGCAGATGCCACATCGCTTCTCTCATTACTTTAGAGCCTTTTCTAATTATCTAGCCTTTCTCATGTTGGCTATATAAAGCCATGTGCCTCACCTCTATCAGGGCTAAAACCCTAAAAGTCAACATGAAATCAAAATCAATTCTTAATACATGTTCCTGGTCTTATTTCAAATGACTTAGTACAACCTAATTAAAAACGTTTGTCTTTCAGCAAAATGAAGCAACTAACCTTTCTGACTGGCGCCCACTGGCCAGAAATAATGTTAGCTAAAGCTATTTATTTGGTTTAGGTACTGTTGTTACACCAATCTCACCAGTTAAGCAGCTTTTTATTGTCTATTAAAGTAGGGTACTTCAAATAAATGTAAATAAAAATAGATTTGAAAAGAAGTGTTAGAGATGCTCTTGGGGATGACCTTCAGCCTCCAGGTCAAATAGCTTCCTCAAAAACAGTAGTCTGCTACAATCAACTGCAAACTCGCATTCAGGTTTGACTCCATCTTGAAACTCAGCAAACAATTGCCTGTGGAGAAAAATCTATTCGCACCTTAATTTTGGGGGGAATATTCTGTTTCACTTGGAAATGCATCTTGGCTGAAGTAAAATGGGTTGTAAATGCTGTTTCATATTGACTTTAAGGAGGTAGCTCTGTTTTGGAACACTGTAGCTGGTTTAGACAGCTGACCAGCTGAACTACCGGCTGAGCTGGTACACTATCTTGATCAAGGATGTTGTTGGAAAAAGCAGATCTTAACAGTCCCACCAACCATCTTGGCGGAAGCCAAATGGATTGCAAATGCTGTATCACATTGACTTTAAGATGGTTGGTCTGTTTTGGAAAATGGTAGCTGGTTTCTAGCTGGTTCACGCTGGTTGAGATGGTTGACCATCTCATACCAGCTGTTGGGGACCTGGCTAAGCTGGTACACCAACTAGGTCAAGGATGTTGCTGGAAAAAACAGGTCATAGCATTTAAGTTAGTCAAGTTGCTTTTGGAACATGGTAGCTGGGTTATTTCTGGTCCAAGAGTGTTATTTTAGGGGCTTTCGCACCGCATAGTTCTAGGAACTTAGTTCTAGGAACTAGCCAGCAGGGTAGTTCCTAGAGAACCAATTTCTCCCTCTGGCCGTTTTCCTGGTTGCATTCGCACCAGCAGCAGGAACTCTGAAGCGGCCAACAGCGATGTCTTTTTATAATGGAGATGGAGATGTAAACGCACGATTTACGCGATTGCAAGAGCAAAAAGTTGGGCTAAGAGACAAATTTTTTTTAATGACAACTTGCAATGTTACATAGCATCGAAGCTGAGAAAAGAACACAACACTGCAGACAACAGGTAAATGCCGTTATCGCTGTTTTCCATGTTCGTGGAGTAAATATGTTTACATGGCTTTTTAAAAATGCCAGGTGGCCAGTGTTTCGCATGCGTTTGGCCAATACACTTACGTCACTGATAGTTCCTATAGAACTGTTTTAGACCCTGCTCTGAAGTAGGAGCTAATTTAGTTCCTCCAAACGGAGTTCCTAGAACTAAAACCGTTCCTAGTTCCTGCGGTGCGAACACGCTAAAAGTGGGTAGTTCCACAATTAGTTCAGGTACAATGAAAAGGTTCCCGCGGTGTGAAAGAACCTTTTGGTTGACTAGCTAGTGGAAACCTAGTTGAAATTGGGTTGGAAAAACCAGTTTAAGCATATTTTTGGCAGTCAAGGTGATTTATCTGGTCTAATATGGTCTACCAACTTAGCCAGGTGCCCACCATTTGGTAGTTCAGCTTATCAACCATCTAAACTACAGCTAATTATGTTGCTGTAGCTATGTTCATCTTGCTCAACTCATACAGCATAGCACTAGCAACACCATGGTTATGGTTTCTATTTCCAAGAAAGACATCCTGGTAAAATATTGTAACTTGAATGTACTGTAAGCTGCAAGCCAGCTTGGACCAGCTAATGGCCAGTTAGAAAGCAGCTAGCTACCAGTTTAAGCTGGTTTTGTCTGATTTAACCAGGGAATCCTCATCTTGTACAGAATTTTCAACATTAAAAGTTAGTATGGCCCTAAAAGCTTCTTCATGTCTTAGTCTTGACATTTCCCCTCTTTCTCTCCTTTCTCCTGTTTTCCCCTTTCTGTCCACTTCTCCTCGTGTGAACCCATTGTTCATTTCTCTATTTGTTCTCTCTTTGTCTCTCTTTTTTCCTCTTCTTCCTATCTGTGTACCTAGGCAGCCCATTGAGTAACTTCTTTGACGTAATTAAACAACTTTTTTCAGACGAGAAGAACGGCCAGGTGCCTCTTCCACCTGGCACGCCCAACAGACACCCACCTTACGCCCGTCACCACGACCCTCAGCCTAGTGACTCTAAATGCCCAGCGGGCAATCCCAGGGACAATACCAAGCTGGTGGCATCCGTTGGGACACAGGAGCAGCCCTAAAACTTTACGTACCAACATAAAAGCACTCCAAAATGTACATAATCTTAGAGTTGATGGAATTTATATTTGGACAAACTTTTGTATGATGGAATGACTGCTTAAAAACAAATTATGACACAAATCCAGACACATTTCCCCTTTCACCATCTCTGCATGTCGTTGTGCCAGCCCCTACCCAAACCCCTGTTGTTTCTTCCCCAGATATTTTCATGTCTTTACGTCTGTCTTCCTGTTTTCCTCACCTTTGTGACGGCTTGTCTTTGCTGCTAGGAATTATCCAGAAAACTTATTAAAACTCCGCCCCCACTTCCCTGGACATCCTGAGATGGACATTTATTGACAGACGGCACTTTTCATGACGAACAAGCGGGTTACCAAGGAGAAGGACGCTTCATCTTTCGTCATACTCTTCCCTTCCCTCTTTCTGTTCTGTCCGAGGACTAAAATACAAATACCCACACTTGTTCCCACTCAACCTGAGTGCACCCCTGCCATCATCTCAGCACCCCAACCTGTTAAAATGGTTGACCAGCCAGTGGGAACTGGCTGCACCAACAGGCTCTGTTCCAAAACGTAGTGAGCTGCCTCTAAGATACCTCACTCTGATCAAATGATAAGGCAGTCTCTTAATGCAATGCAACAAACATTGTAAAAAATGGCGTTAAAGATGGCAGAGAAAGCACTCAGTTTAATTAAAATAAGGACTATTTTACCCAATATTTGAATGTTATGTATTTTTATGTACAATAAAGTATGGAGCTATTAGCATAGCAACATGCTAACGTCAAACTCTGTTGAAATCAATTGAACATTGAGTCTCTCTGTGCAGTTGTTAGCTTAGCAACATGCTAACTGCAAACTGTACTGAAGTCAGCTGAGAATTGAGCCTCTAGTGCACATACTTCAGGAGCACCATTTGTGTCACACATACCGCTCTTCCACTGGGGCTGGTGCTGGAGCTGGAGTCAGTGCTCGGCCAAGACTGGCACTTGTTCAGAACTGGCTCCTCTGACAGTGAGCAAGAACCCTCTCCATCACCAATCTGTGACGGCAATCGCTTGTTATCACTTGCAGAAGGAGAGCGTTGATCTATTCTGCTGTCCACTGCTGAACTGACATATTTAATTGTTGTGTTAATGCTGTTAATTTACCTGAACTCTGCCTACTGATGTCATAGGTTTGCTTGTTCGAGACCAGCAAGGTTTTGGGGCCGGTTCGGAACTAGGATCTGGGCACTGGCCCAGGATATTTTTGAGTGGAAAGTGCAGCCTGGTTCCCAAATGGGCTCCGGCTCTGGCACAAGCCCTGGTGGAAAAGCGGTAACAGAGTTGAAGAGTGTTTCAAATAAGTTGTTAGCTTAGCAACATGCTAATGGAAAACTCTACTGAAACCAATTAAGAATCAAGTCTGACTTTTTATCTCCCAGTTCTGACTTTTTTCCCTCAGAATTCAGATTTTTTTTCTCAGAATTGATGTAAACTCAGAATTGTGAGATATAAACTCGCAACTCAGAAGAAAAGTCCAAATTGCGAGATATAAACTAGTAATTGCAAGAAAAAAATTTAAGATTAAAAAGTCGCAATTACCTTTTTTATTTTTTTATTCCATGGCTGAAACATAAAACACAATTCTGACTTTTTTTTTCTTGCAATTGTGAGTTTATATTTCACATTTCAGACTTTTCTCAGAATTGTGAGTTTCTATTTCGCAATTGCAAGTTTTAAACTCATAATAAGACTTTTCTCTCAAATTGCGAGTTTATGGCCCAATCCCAATTCTATTTTATACCCCTTCCCCTTCCCCTACCCCTCCGCCTACCCCTTCCCCTTGTCCCTTGAAACAGAGTGTCAAGGGGTAGGGGTGAAAATATTCCCCTAAGAATTGGGACACCACTACTATACGTCACACGTCATCATACGTCGTCTTTATGTGTCTTTTTGTTCGCTCGGGCAGCCATGTTGCCGCTGAAGCCGGTTTACGCTGAGATAATTCATACCCCTTCGTTTGAAGTGTGGTCCCGAAAAATCTTCGTTTGAAGGGCTGTCTGGCCCTACCCCTACCCCTACCCCTCCAACCAAAAGAGAATTGAGACATCCCTACCCCTTCACGTGAACGCGCAAAACGGAGGGGTAGGGGAAAGGGGAAGGGCTAAGGGGTAGAATTGGGATTGGGCCTATATCTTGCAATATTGAGTTTATATCTCACAGTTCTGACTTCTTTTTTTCCGGAATTGAGTTAAAGTCCAATATGTGAGATATAAACTCTAAATTGTGAGAAAAAAGTGAGAATTGTGATATCAAAAGACACAATTACATTTTTATTTTTGATTGAAATAAGCTTCCTTCATGAAGTGCGTTATGAGGTTACGAATCAGGAAACCTGGCTGGTGCACACAATTTTTGCCTTGATTTTGCTTAGAGAGTGTCTTTAAACAAAGGAGTCTTAAAAGTGTGTATCATGCTTTAAACAATAAGGCAGCTTACTAGGTTTGGAACAGATTCACACTTAAAATACTAGACATCAGCACACACTCGCAACTCTAGGATGTTTGCACTCAGATTCATGAAGACCATAGGAAAAAAATAAAATAAAATTGAGAAGGAAAAGATGTCTTTGAGAGCTTGTCGTGGAGGATGTGGACTTTTTCAAACTGTATCGTTTCCATTTGCGCTCTCTTTTATTTATTAATGACTTTATGTTTGAAGAACATCACTTGATCTGAAATCATTGCTGCAAAAGGACTGAAACATGGATTTCAGTGAGTTTGGGACTTGGGATGGGGTGGGGGAATAGTACTGAATGAATTTGTCCTAATGAATGAATCTCTGTTGTACAGATTGAACATAATTATGTACAAATATAATGTCTAGATGTGACACTAGCTTTAGTTCTGTTGTAGATTCAGATTTGAAATCTTGTGTTGCCAGTCTTTATTTAATTATTATTTAACCCTTGTACTTCTGTATTTATTATGTGATGGAACAATTAGTTTCATTTAATCGATTTGGGTAGACACTGAATTGCAGTGTTTGATTTGTCTGTTTTATTTATATATTGTTCCTGATCATTCCTCATGTTCGCTACCAGCAGACACACACACACACAAAAAAAATTGAATACATTGTGGATATTTTTGTATTTTTCCTTCTGTTTTATCTCTGTCCTTATTTATTGTCATCTAATTATATATGAGAACTTGAATGTTATTTATGACAATAATGTGTTTGTATCAGGGCAACACAATTTTGTTCGTTTAAAGAAACTTTCGTATGTCTTGATTTGTATAAGTACCGTGGACTTTACAAATCTTTCTTTCCTAGCTTCAAAAGAGAACAAAATAGTATGTAAAAACATATGAACCACAAAAAAGCTAATTTAACAGTAATTTAAGAATGTAGTTTAGCCTCTATGGGGAGGACATGAACTTCTTGATATCAATGTCAGCTTCATATCATTGTTTGTGTACAATGGATGACGAAAAAGCTGTTCTTGGATCAGTTTTACTGTAAATATGGTATGGTGGCCTTCGGGAAGCTCAAAGGCCATTCCTGCTCTTTGCTTTTGACTTGTATTGCTGTGTGCATGCATGCATTTTCTTTGCATGGCTTTGACGTAACAATTCTCCAAAATCACACTATTTTCTCAGAACTGCTTTCCTTACATTGTTTAATGGGGAAAAAAGAAAAACACCTGCCTTCACGCACTCCCCCACCCCCCACCGTTAGTCTCTCTGCATATTTTCGTTCTCTTCCTGGTTTCCTGTTAAGGTTTTTTTTCTCTATGTACGCTGTAAGCGAGCAATGCTCATTTGCAGTGTCTACATGGTAGGCTATCAGTTTATAAAATGCTTCCTTTTATCTGTACCATGTACCTCGAACGAGAAGGTTTCGGATGTTCACGGCCCCCTGTTTACAGACAGCTTGTTTAAATGAAACAATAAAGCAATACCTGTTGTTAACTTTCCTATTTTATACACTTATAAAGCAAAGCTTAAATGAAAAAAAAAATGCCCATGCAGAGCAGGAACATGCATTTAAAGTTGTAAAATTCCCCTTGTATCATAACTGTGAGCAATTTCAGAGAGAAAAATTAAACAATAAACTCATTCACTTAATAGTATGATAGTGAGTGTACATGTTTTTATGTTACTGAGTGGATGTATTTATCAGTAAAACAATGACATAGACTAATGTCCCAAAGGATGTCCAATGCAATATTGTAATGCATTACTTTTAAAAGTAACTTTCCCCAACACTGTCCATGACTATATAGGCCTATACACGAAACTACTTTGTATGCACACAGAATTGCTAACTTTTATAATTTAGCCTAAGTAGTGGATTGATTTAGGCTAAGTAATCTGCTTAAACTTAACATGTTAGATATTATTCTCACAGTTTTTTGTTGTAGGCTATATAATGATTGTATAACATAATATAACATAACTGTGTAATAAACGTATTGGCTTGAAATGAATGGGGCTATCAAATGTGTGTAAATCAAGTCTTTGCACATAATAGGCAGGAGGGGCAATATTGTTAGTCTAAAACTGGAAAGTGGCTGGGTTTAACAGGGCAGATGACTGTGAATTTACAAGATTTTAACCGCTTCCTGAACCAGTCAGGCCAAGCGAGGCTTCGGACATCATCAATGAATGTCATCATTGAAAGCGATACAATTAAGCCTCGATACGCGCTTCACTGAAAGCTGCCGGGATTTTTTGACACACGCTCCGAAGCCTCGGCACAGAACGTAACATCACTATTAAAATGTTTAATTAGAGTTCATATATCATTGGGCATCGCTTTTATAGCCGCGATTAATTGAGAGTGGATAATTAAGGTTACCTCAGACCAGGGGTGCCCAAATTCGGTCCTGGAGGGCCAGTGTCCTGCAGAGTTTAGCTGCAACCCCAATTAGACACACCTGAACCAGCTAATCAAGCTCTTTCTAGGCATACTAGAAACTTCCTGGCAGGTGTGTTGAGGCAAGTTGGAGCTAAACTCTGCTGGACATCGGCCCTCCAGGACCAAGTTTGGGCACCCCTGCCTCAGATCATGAAAATAAAGGAAGCAAGAAAGTTCAAACTGTGAACACAATGAAGTGTATTCTATGACAATGATCGTGTAAATCAATATGTATTTTGAATTATGTTTAAATAGTTTATTTAGCATTAATTTGATTATGTAGGCCAGTGGAGCCTGCAGGCTGTACGCACTGTGAGTACCATGAGCGCTCAGACTGACCTGAGATTTGCCCCGCAAACATTTCAGCAGTTATTATAGGCCTGTGTGTCCCGTATTTCTGTCGACTGAACCAGCCATGCCATTAATTATGAATTTATCAGTCTTTTGCATGCCAAAGTCAATTTCTGCATATAAATATTATGCCAAATAGAAGCAGAAAATCGTGCTATACGCACGTTCATGAGATCGGGTTAGCCTACAACAATTAATTTGTAGCCTATTTTACAAATGGGAACGAATTCATGACATTGTTTTACATTCAAGCTACCCGTAAAATTTATAGTGAAAAGTACTTTAAAAGTGTCTGGAATGCAATGAAGTAATTTTTTTAAAGCTGTTTTTAAAGCATTTGCTTCATGGATAAAAAAAAAAAATAGGCTAATAAATAATTCACATATCAGAAAAGATTGCGTTGCAGTGTTAGAACGAGCCGTTTTAGGGGGGCGTGGCAGAGTCTTAAC